TATGTTTTTTTCTTCAGTGTCTAACACAGCTGTGTCCGCTATAGTGTGATATGGTGAGGTTTAGCAAATAATTACAATAAGAACAATAATCTTTACTAACATAGCAGCCTTCTTAACAAGGAGCTCCGCAGAAGATAAGAACACGAGTAAATCAGAAACCATTAAAAAGCAAAGAAGAAACAAAGCTGAAGTTCTCAATAACTGGGTTCACAAAATAGGGTTGGAAAGAATAACAGATGAGAACAATAATAAATCAGAAACCATTAAAAAGCAAAGCTCGCGGAAAAAGACGTACTTGCAGTGTATCAACGTGGATTTCCTGACACCTGAATTCAGGTCAGATAATAAAGTATTCGACCCCAATGTAAACTGCGTAACGGTAGCTCAGGAAAACCACACAGGCTGATATGATTGTTGCATTTTTAACCTAATTCTGCAGCCTCAAAACCAAGTGGCTCGTTTCACATTTGAAACTTCTGTTGCAAACGCATAGACTTAGTTTGTGTTTGAATAAAAGTCTAATCATCTTCACATACAGGCTAATATTTTTTTACTGAACCAAACTGATACTATTAAGCTGCACATAGCTGTAAAAGACAATGACGGTTTTAGTAAACTTTGTATAGGGCGGTTCATTTAGCTCTGTATTCACTAGCTCTTTGTTTGCTTCAAGCACTAAAACCACTTGATTCATTTTAGGAAAAGATCCTGGTTTGGGCTAGTGGAATACATTTTAAAAGTAACCTTCCCATCACTGCATGCTCAGTGCCCAAGTGCTATGTCAGCTAATGTGATGTGTGTTGCACCTTTCCACTTACTTGCTTGCTTTTCTTTAAATATTGATGCCCCTTTCTGAGATCCTTTCAAAATGAATATGCTGTAAAAAACAGCTTTGAGAAATTAGATCATTAAATAATCTGTAATCTGTAAAAGGTCAAAATACAAAAGATTACAAGAGCTTTGCTTTTCTCAGTTTCCATTTTGGAAAAATCACTTAATAACGGATTAAAATAGCCTTATTTTACAGCAGGTATTTTAAATGCTTGTAGAAAAGAATGGGCTTAGTGTCACATCCTCATTATCATCATAGTGTGACAGTAACTCAACATGCATATCAGCAGAACTCTGAAGCTACAGCAGCTAAATTAAATCCAGTCTTTTTTTTTTCATTTTCATTTTTGATTTGTGATTTTCCAGTTAGAATTTCCAAATTTTCATTTTGAAAAAGATCAGCACAAGCAAAATAGCGCTGAACCCTTGCCGTGTTTAAGTCATAAACCTGTGTAGTGCTCATCAGCATGAGCACTAAATATTTCTTCACATAGTGTGAAGTGAGACAGACAGTAGTCGATTGTTTTAGGTAAACATTTGCAAAAGCTGCTGCAATCCTTCTGGTAGGGACTGAATACTCCAAAATTTTACAGTTTTGCTTTTGTTTACTTTTTTTATTTGCAGGTTTGGAAACTTGCTGTGACATTAAACAGCATGGAGCTCAGTGTTATGGATCTTTAGGTGGAAATGTGGACATCCAACTGATGGACAATACCTCAAAGACATCAAAATACCAATTGATGAAAAATTCATTAAAAATACTAAATGTCAGAAATAATAAAGTTCTTCCTAATGCTGAAGGACAAAGATTTGTCTTTTTTTCCAGTAATGCAACATATAGGATCCCTAACATGAGCAGGAATGACAGTGGTAATTATACCCTTCAAACCTTTGATTCAGAGGGAAGAGCATCAGGCGAGTGGACTTTACAGTTGTTTATTCAAGGTAATTCCTTTTATAATGGTTTCCCTGAAGGGAATTAATTAAAATTAATAGAAATTTAATATTGCTTTAGT